CGGGTTAGGTACAAACAACTGAAAATGCTGGTATACGATGGATCACTATGAGATCTGACTGGATATAAGAAACTAAGCTTTTTTCATTTCCTTTTATGTTTTTTYTCTCTTTTTCYTGTGATGGCACTAGGGTGAAATTTGATCACCACCAGCAAACTTAGAATCCTGATTTTGGCTCTGATGATGGCTTTTAACACACTACTCGCATTCTTCCACGTGCGATGCGTTTGGTAAAACTAATCGGAACGTGCATCCTATTAAATTGGATCTATTTCAAAGTTTCTCTTCTGTGGAAACATGATTTTGATAATTTTACTTAATTCTGATCTATTAAAAAAGGGCCATATAATTTACTTCCAGACATCGAGTACTGAACCGTCGTATGACAGTGCGAATCATTTACAGTTACCGCGGAGATTTCGGCCCAAGCACCGCTATCAACTGATTACAGAAGGATCAGGAAGCTCGGCCGAAGCCTACAGGCSCGATTACACGGAGCAATTTTTTCTGCAACTTATCTCGCAACACAAGTTGCATGAGTTTTTACACGGTGCAACAGAGACGCAAACAATAATTGCTGCAACTAGTTTCTAATTGCTTTGTAGCGCTGCAATGCGCCATGCAACGTTTATCGCAACGATGTACTCGTTGCAAGACAAGTTGCAGAGAAAATTGCTCCGTTAAATCGCGCCTTAAGGGCAAGGTTAGTCGGCCCCTAGGCCGTAGATGATTAACCCCTTGCTATGACCAGCAAACTTTAAAACCGTGATAGTGACTCTGATGGCTTTGAACGCACCACACGCCATTGTCGTGAAGTCGGGGAGACTATGGTTAGAGTTTCCACGGGATYTTTATTGACGCTCACAAGTACTAGTAGTTACAAGACTTTTTCACGACTAACGAATCTATATCTCTCTTTCTCTTCTCTCTAACTAACTATCTGAAACTAACCCGATATTTATAGAAGAATTTAGCATAATTGTAATAATAATTATAATAATAATAACAATATGCAAACAAAATCACACCTCCAAGTGGGTGGAGTCACAAGCGTCTCGCAAATTCGCAGACGATTTTTTTAATGCGTGCCACACTTCAATGAAATCCGTAGTAAACTCTAGTTATTTGATATACATAAAATGCACCTGGCGTTTTG